TTGGTCTTGGAACCCTGATATAGCCTGTCAGTAATACTGCTGTCATTTTAAATTGTGAGTTTGGCAACCAACAAGGACGACGTCATGACGGCAGAAAACAAAATTACTTATACTTTCGTCAAGTTTTGCATTCGAGCGAAAACATACATTATAAACTTTAAAAGCACTTGTCTTTCTTTCAAGCAACCCTGAAATTCCCTGAAGTAGCAATAGTAAGTGAATTCACATAAACACCGCAACGACTTGAGTTTGAACAACTGTACGGCGTACTAGAATGCTCAAGAATGCAAATAAATATAGTCGCCTTTGTCTTAGAGTAAAGATGCAATTGTTGATATAATAACGTTGCCGTTGTATTTGCCAACTCTCTTATTCAGCAAAAACATCGTTTCCAGCAACTATTGTACAAGTTGACCAAATGTAAGAAGTGTTTATATTCAATAATTATAAGTCAAGCAAAGTTATACAATTTATATTGTTGTTGTATTATGTTAGATGTTACGCTCTAGATTATTCTACTGTATTACTTCATTGTATTAACCAGCCTGCCTTCCAGCTGACTAAAATTTTAAAAAGCCATCAAAAAATTTGGATTGTCACTTGAAAATTGTAATTGTAAATAATCCAATTAAGGACCGATCCAGCATGATCTGGTAGAGGGCTGCTCTGCCAGCTTTGGTGCAGAGTTGTGTCGATCATGTATGCTGCATGCCCATCAACATACTCCAGGGCTTCCAAAATACGCCGGTGGCTGCCGGAGTTCCGACAGGTTCTACAAGGTTTACCGCTGGTTACTTTGTTTAGTATTTGAAATATCAATTTGCTCTCCTTTTACCACTCTAAGCTTTCAAGTTATTTTTCATCAACCTGGTCTAATGATTTAGTTATTTGCCATCCTAAATCTTAATGTTAATTATCTTGTTGAAGAATTAAAGTGGAGATACATTACTATAACTTGGTTACAGAGCTCAGTTGTGTTGCTATATATCTAATCAATATACACTTGTTAATTTGGATAACTTTAAGACCTCCTAACCAGACCGCCCCCTCCCAACAGCCGCCTATACTTCATCAAAACAGACACCTACTGAGAGTAATTCTAAAAGTCCCTATTTGAATTGTAATTGTTGTTTGAAGTTTGCTTATTATCATATTATTGCTCAAAATACTGTATCTTATTTTGTCTCAATTATTTTTTGCTTTATCAATATGTCACTATTTGATCTGCCAGGTTATGACATGCTTGATCAATGTTGTCATTGACAATGGTTGCTTGTCCATGTCACTGTAGCCTTGAAGCTCCTAACTGTAAATCTTGCTATCCACACTTTCTAGGATGCAGCACCTTAATCTCCATCTCAGACATGCAAAATAGCACCTAGTTTTATTCATGGAAACCCTGACAATCCGACATGTTTATTTCGATTAAAAAATTATATTATTATAATCATCTACCACGTTATTATTTAACTGCTGGATTTTACAATGCAATTCACACCATGCAGGTACCAAATATTTTAATATAATTAGCTAATTTTAGATTTCAGACAGTGGCGTTAGCTTCGAGGTTGATGACTGATTGGCGTACTCGGCCAATCTGACAGCCAAACTCCAGACCAAGGCTTTTTTACTCAAACCAATTGGCCCTTGCCTTGGTTTCTATTAACACTGGGTCCACAATTATCATGTTGAAATATATTTTATATTGTTATATTTCTACACATGCTATGTAGGGCAATTTTGTCCTACTTCTGACAACCTTGAACTAACTGTACATGATAATTGTACTATTTTTTTATAATTATGCCAGCCAGACATTAATTAAAAATTTTTTAACACAAAACAACTAATTGATCCAAAAAATTATTGTATGACGTTAAATGCATTTCATTGTGATATTAACAAAGTCTACCTTTATAGTACTTAAAAGATTACAACAAGACTGCTATTTCCATTTGCAGCTTTAAATACAAAAATATATGTCAACCTTGATGGCTTGATGTTTTCCATCTATAGATATACTAGAAATACATGCATGCAGTAACCCCTCGCCAATCTGATTTCCATACATTAAACATGAAGTATTCAGAAATGACCAGCACTGAACGCAGGCTCGCGCTCAAGTGTTGCCATGACAACCCGATATTCGTAAATTTTTATTTTCATATATTTTGTACAATACTGCAAAATAGTTGAAAGATTCGTACTTTTAACTATACAACAATAAATTTCCGAAATACATACTGTAGGTATACTATGTTGCATTTTGTGAGCTTTGATTTAATGTAAAATTTAACTTGAAACGCTTCGTTAAATGTTTTGAAATGTTCATTCAAGTAAACCTACATTTTGCCGATAAACTGTTTTTACTTAACAAAACATGGTCATTTTAATACAAATAAAATAAAATTGTTAGGTAATTTCAGTTCAGTCTTCAAATCAATTTGTTCGCCTTTACATTTTAAGATTTTTTCTCAAATTAAACGGTAATTTATGAAACTTAGAGCTTCTATAGTTCATGTTTTTTATTACGTAAAAAGTTAAAGCAACAAAAATCGTAAACATTTTAAAAATATTCAAAGCAAACTTGCCGTAGATTTCCCGATTTCCCGTAGTAAAAAAATTCTTCTCATTTCTTCAAACAAAATTGCTTCAAGCTTGTTCTATATGAAACGATTTTCCAAATATATGTCTTTTAAAATTGAAATCTTGCTTGCCATATTTTTGAGATAAGTGAGGATGACCACCCACTCAAGATCGTCGTTCGTTGGTCAGTGCCCGCGATGCTTTATGAACTTTAGACTTCGCTAATGCTTTCGTTTCCCCGGGTGTAAATAGCCGGGGGGAATTAGTACCCTCGCACGGCGTTTCGCGCCGTCGGCTCGGGGACAAATATGTATGTCAACTGACAACATGTACATAATTTGATAACAATTTTAATTTCCGGGTTAAGATTCTTTCATTTGTCCGAAAAAGCTGAATTGTTAGTCGTTTAGCCGCCTTTAGCAACCTTATAATATAAATTCACTAATTCTCATAATTCTTCACTCCATGCAATCCGCCATCTTGGATGACAAATTTCTCCCCACGTGCATACCCTAGAGACAAAATCAGTGCGCAAGCAAGATGCACAGAACGGCTCAACCATGTCGGGTTTTGGCAGGCATCTAACCGATTCTAGGTAAGTACCACGAGATGCCTGTGGAGGAGGCTAGGTAAGTACCAGGCTAACCCAAAACATACATAAATACAATGCGAATTTAACGTAAAGTAAAATGCGATATATAGAAAAATTATTCAAAACTTCTTTTATTAAATTACTAAACAAAAAAGTTATCCAAAAATACCTTTGAGAAAACGAGATCTTCACAGCAAAAATCGCGATATATTTCAGCAATTTTTAATCGAACGGCGCGTTGAGAATATATAACTTAAAAATAATGAGCCGTACTGATTTGCTCGTTGCATTTCGGGAAGATCCTCATTCCTCCTCTGGGCCGAATCTGCCACTGTTGTAAGCATCCTGCTTTATATATGCTGTAACGCCTGGTGCACATTGATCGTAAACATCGGCGATGCCCATTGTCGGTTGTCATTGATGCATAAAATGGTTTTGTGCATTTTCTTCTTCGTTACTCACAGACAATGGATCGTAGAACATCGCCGATCAATGTTAACCAGGCTTAACAGGATGTTTGCAGAATTTCGGTGCGTTCTCTCCGTTATTAAGATTTTACGCTTTCCCTGCCAGGAATAAAACTCTTCAAAGCTTTCGAGGTCAAATAGGTTCTAACTAATTTTTTAGGTATGAGTACGATGTTCAACTGGCAGCGAAGAAAGTTATTTCAATGATGGGACACTTTTATTCGGAAATAAATTTTAAATACTGTTTCAAATTCGTAAATGAGTAATGGACGGGCTTTCAGATTCTATAAACTTGTTTCAGGCCTAGACGACGGAGCAGAAGAATCGAGCCAGCACGATATTAAGGTTTTAAAATAACATCCCATATCATAAACCGTATGAATTAAGTTGCAGCGAATTAATTTCGATCGCGGCTTCATTTTGATCCAGCTCCAGGACTGCATGATATCCATTATCATCATGTCACAAAGGTAACGCAACTTGATTGGCTAGTTGCGCATCAATTCCTAAAAAATATGAGATTAGTTACCCCAAAGTGGAGAAACAAGTAATATTTCAAAACGAGGTAATACCTACCAGGGATCAAGTTCCAGTGCGTTTTGAAAAGGAGAGCCTTATTAGTGCACGGCATTTTGAAATACCGGTAAAGTATGAGGTCGAGAAATGAAACTGACTTCTGAAACGTTTTATTTAATTAAATAGTTTCAAATTATGGAACGTTAGAAATTATTATATAATACCTTATTGAATTCTGATCGTTTAATTGGCTGGTTATGGTCACGTGATATTGAATAGAAAATTCCATTTCCCAAGAGTGCAATGGAATACGTTCCATACACAGGTTCCATTGCAATTGTACTATGCGTTTTATTCCATTGCACTCTTTGTGTTCTCGGCAAATCGCATCCGTCAAAATGCTTCTCTTACTATGATCGCAGTTATTTTATTACCCCGATATTCGAAATTCAGTAAATGGGATTTAATGCGAATACGACTAGGCAAAATGGCGGGAGCTTACAGTAAACCTTTTATTTAATATTAGTCTATTTTGGTATTATATAAAACAAATAATGAATTTATGTTTTTATTCGTGCAATGGTAAGAATATTTTCATTTGGTGAGTGATGGAATGTTCCATGCAACTCGGCTGTCGCCTCGTTGAATGGAATATTCCATCTTTCACCTTTCACCTCATGAAAATATTCTTACTATTGCACTCATAAACATTCATAATTTGTATACTAGCTCTCAGGATGTCTTCCTTGCACTGATTAATAAAAATATTGAATGAATTTGAATGTAATATTTTATTTCATCACCTTTTTTAACGACTCTTTTTGTTTTTAATATTACAGGTAGTGGTTCTAACAGCGGCGGGGGCAACAGTAACAATAATTATAACAACAACAACAACAACAACAACAACAACAACAACAACAACAACAACGACAACACCAAGAACGATAACAGTGGCATCTGTAAGTTTGGATGAGACGTCATCATAGATTAGTTAATTAATAGTTATAACGGCATTGGTAAAGAGGGTGGACGAGAATGACGTTTTCAATATTGAGAATATTTTTTTCAAAGTGTTTGAAACATAAAAATTTAAAACAACCTGCAGTTAATTACTATAACAACCCTAAATCTTACCCTGCGCCCAACACTAACCCTAACATAAACCCTAAACTAATGCGAAATCCGAGTTTAAATTTTCCTCGATCTTTTAAACCTCTCTGTCGTCCATCCCTCTTTTCAAGAATTTTCCTGTATCTTTTAAACTTCTCTGTCGTCCATCCCTCTTTTCAAAAAAGTCAATTATTATCGGAAATTGATCACCAAATATACAACCTTCCTAACCTGCGCACTTTCTTTCTGTCTTGCAAAGATAGAAGCGGGTGTTGATAGACTCGCAACCGAAGTTTATTTGTGGTGTGTTTTAGCAGTTTGTCAACCTTATTTTGGTAATCAAAGAATTTAGTAACATACACCGCCGATCGCATGCATAATTCGCAACACTTTTACGCCTTTTACCTCTAAGATCGTGGGTTCGATTCTTGCTAAGGACTGATATGAAATTCAACTATTGTATGAAACTTGCTGTGTTGGCTGCCTCGTACACAGGCGTCTTTTCGTAAAAAAGCAGTGATGCGCATTTGACGAGTTTACATGAAGTATTGTAGTGGGGAGAGATGGGCGAAGGGGCTGATGGGAAGAGTGGTCTTGAACTGCAAGACGCCTGGCAGTTCTTGGTCGATTTCTTGCAAGACAGTCGATTTCTTGCAAGTTGTGATATGTCGTTGTCGTTTACGATTTTTTGCTACTTGTTTTTGTTGAATAGACTAATATTAATATTCTTCTGTCATCTGGGCGTGAATTCATGCTGTTATTCTTGGTATATATGACATATATGCCTTCTTTCAGTAAAGTTCATGGAAATTCCAATCTTAACATGTCAACAACCGAAGCGTTGAAGAACTAGACTTGCAGGAACTAGATTTGTAAGCTATAACTATATAAAGATACAAACTATGAAATTGCACTGTTGTAATAAATATTTCAAACTTTACGGCTGTGAGCTTTTATTTACTTGGGCTTTTGTTTACAGTATACATTTAATAGAAATTGCCATTGGCATTGTGATCGACTGATCGAGCCTTCAGCTAAACAAGTTATTAATACAAAAGCAATTATATGACTTTCTAATCATTTCTCTGTTACTGTTTTATACTAAGCAACTGATACCATTCAATTATTCTCCATGTAATATCGAATGACATATTCGAAATATTCGCACGGTTAACTTGACATGTAATTTACTTATAATTTTTTGCGCATTTTGCATGTCATCAAACATCTACAAATTTATTATTATTTGCCAATGGCGTTCAATTCGACTCTTCGTCAGAAAGTAAGGTTATACACAGACAGTATATGACGATATGGTAACGTTTTGTATTGAATTCCATGTTATCCCGCCATGACAGCATGCAAGAACTGCCGCCAGGCGCTCCCCAGCACGCATCCTTCCCAACAGCCCCTTCGCGCGTCACCTGCCTTCCTGAATACTTCATGTATTATGATTATTAAAAGCGCCTGGGTACGAGGCAGCTGTGTTGATGTAATGTACTCAAGTGAATAAGATGTTTTGCGATGTTACTCTGAGTGTATATGCACACCGGGCAGGCTTGAAAAATATGCCTGGCCAAGGTGCGATTCGAACTACGACCTTTGGAATACTAGCCCAATGCTCTGCCAACTGAGCTACGCGGTCAGGTCGGTTCGTGTATACGATAGTTCGGAACTGAGTCTAGTTCCTTCGATATCAGTGTAATCTAATAATCGTGAAATTTGTTGTGTTGGTGTAATGTACTCAGGTGAATAAGATGTTTGTGTGATGTTACTCTGAGTGTATATCCACACAGGGCAGGCTTGAAAAATATGCCTGGACACGGTGGGATTCGAACCTACGACTTTTGGAATACTAGTCCAATGCTCTGCCTAACATCACACAAACATCTTATTCACCTGAGTACATTACACCAACACAGCAAATTCCATGATTATTAGATTACACTGATATCGAAGGAACTAGACTCAGTTCCGAAATATCGCATACACGAACCGACTGACCGCGTAGCTCAGTTGGTAGAGCATTGGGCTAATATTCCAAAGGTCGCAGGTTCGAATCCCACCGTGACCAGGCATATTTTTCAAGCCTGCCCGGTGTGGATATACACGCAGGGTAACATCACACAAACAAAATATTATATGGTTAGGTTTGCCCTAGAATATTGAAGCTGCTATTTATGTAAATTTTAACAAAATCTGTATCCGATTTACATATTGATTAAACGCTGAATTTCCTTCATACAAAAATTACTATTTTAAATAAATTTAGCCCCCAAATTCCTTTTGTTGTGAAGCATGTTTTACCTTTGGTAATTGGTGGTGATTAACACTTCCATTATTCTTATTTATAGCATTTGGTCTGAAGATTGGCATTGGTGCTGGTGGCGGTGGAAGTGGCCTTTTTATCTTGTTTGTCTTTATTATTGCTGCTGTCGTGGTAATTGATGTTGTAATTGACTATGTTTATGACAACTACCATTGCATGGTTTTCTTTACAATGTGCTTGTAATAAATACGAATAAGTGATATAATCATAATTTAGCACCTTGTACTAATTAGTTTGAGATATGGGGACACTTCATTATTTATGCCTGCGGTTGATACTTAAGAGAAGTTGAAAAAACTGTTGTTTTATTTAACCTCAAGTAAGTAATAACCCGCCTCCCTCTCATGCGTTTGTGGCAAACTATAGAAAATAATCTGAAGCGCTCATGTGCAATTTTTCTAACATTCCCTACTAATATTATCAGATATCTAGCGCGAGGTTTGGTTTGAAGAATGAACATGGCAATTTTCGTGATTCGTACACCAACTGAATTGCCATTTACCAGTATAAAAATTGATGACACTGAAACGATTTTGAATCTTTGAGATAAACGTTACTTTAATATGTTCACCCAATATGGGCATAACTGATGGATGGTCCCTACAAGTAAATATACATGAAAGCACACACAAAATGCACATCGCAATATTTTATTAAAGGGGAAGTCAGAGTTCAGAACAACTTAGGCTGATATGAAAGATCATATAATGCTTACATCTCACACAAAGTCCCACATGTCCAAGTTATAACCAAGTCGAGAAATAAAGCGATAAATGTGCTAAAATTTACATATAACGCAGCCGCCATTTTGTACATCAAAGCGAAGCTGCGATCACTCAGCGGTTTTACCTTGTGACGTCATTGCGCGGTTGGTTTTCCACGGCAGACAGGCTTTAGTACTTTAATTTTCTGATATACATGTAAACAAAGACGAAATAGTATTTATAAATTTAAGAGAAATACTGTATCAAGAGAAATGGATATTGATTACTCAAACGAATCTTCGAGCGATGGTTCTGGAAGCAGTGGATCGAGTTATAGCGAAGATATGAACGTCGAAAGAGACGTAAACATGATTCAACCTTACGCGTTTGAACCGGTTGAAACAGACTCGAGCGGTGACCATGAAGACTCGGAAGAAATGGCTTCGGAATCTTCGTCAAGTTCTGACAAAACCACCAGACTTCAGGACACGAACTGGTAATTATTTACTAAATTTGCTTCTATTATTTATGTTGTAGATAATAATGTAGGTTAAGCTTTTTCAGCAACATTCCCAACTAGGGTTATTAGTGCTTTAATTGTTTGTACATTATTATGGGCGGCATTATTATACATTATTATGTTGTACTTATAATTATTATAGTTTTCAATGAATCAAACATGACTGAAAATCATAAATTCAACTGCTATGCTTTGGGCCTTTGGCCCAAATTAACTTGGTTTAGCCCAAATTAACTTATGATTAAATTGGAACTTGGCTTTATACATGTAGGTGCCTTTGTACTCACTGCCAAGTAATGGATAGGGAAGAGGAAAGTATTTGCTGCCACGAGAACCCAGCTTGTGTTTCTATAAACCAAGAAGCAGCACAAATCGAGGAGATACCCGTCCCAGAATGTATTACTGATAACCCTGCATTTCAGTATTTATGTCTGAATTATTGGGTCTTGCGAGTTGCTTGGAGCGATTATAGACAACATTATGGCATAAAGGCACATGAAGAACCTGAGCACAAAAAACGAAGACATGTTGCTTACAGGCAGTTTGTTCGGTGGTGTTGGGATATATTAGGCAAAGAGATAAGGGTCCCCTTGCCATCTTGTGCAGTTAGTTGTATTCGAGCACACTTCCCACCACCAGGTTTAGAAGAGGACTTTGTTTTTGAGGGTTTTAAATTTGCAGATGAGTAATTAAATATGTGATAGGGGTTTTCATTTCTTACTTTCCATATATTGTTGTATAAATATTGCTATTTGGCTAACTATATTATTAACATTATTTTCAACCTACAGTAATCTGCTTGTTTTGTTTTGTCAAGTAATATTTTCTAATTACAATTATTTACAGTATAGTACATTATGTAATATCTACAACTATTTTGTTCCCCTCCATTTAAAAGTGTTATTGTTTTAACTATTTCAGAACAAAGAGTCTGCTTCATTCTTCGGGAAACTTTATCCAATTAGTTGTCTCCTTATTTTAGGCATTGGGACCCATTGGGTCTAGATAATCAATCTAGTTTATTAGAACAATCACAGTTCCCAACAATTCTCCTTATAATGTTAACTATTATGGATAAATGGGTTCACCAGAGACATGAGCAGGAAGTCTGGTTAACCCATTGACACCCAATGCTCCCCATTTAGTAAAATTGCCTTGTATTAGACAAAGTAAAATAACAAAGTAGAGCACATGCCAGCTAAATGGGTTTACAAGAGAATATGCATATAGTCTGCTTAATACATTAATGCTTCTCCTACACTTCTCTGTGATGTGTAAATTGGCATAACAGTAGACAGAGTAAAATAACAAAGTAGGACATTGCGGCTCGACCCAGTGACGGACACTTTGGGAAAAAATGGGGGGGGGGAATTAAGTTACAACATATGACCACATTTAGTAGCCGGAAGTCTTAGTTCTTTCAACTTTCTTGCCCTAAATTTCATGCAATACTGTATGTAGTGATAAATTTTTCCATGGTTGGAAAATTGTTGTAAGTTATAGCTTTCTTACACTGTTATTCACGTATCATTTAAAGGTTCCCCCCCCCCCAGTGTCCACCACTGGGTTCACCTACTCATTTCAACACACTTCAGGAAACAGCTTATGGTTTCTTTCCCATTCGTGATCTGTGTGCTGTTATAATCTCTTCTTTGCATGGCCTTGGTGTGGGTGCAATGTTCTTTGGAATATTGGCAGGCATCGTTGAAGTATAGGGTTTTTTCTTGTCATACTTGAAGGAAAAAACATCTTCCATCAAGTTTTGGATAAAGGAAAAGGACTTACTGGCCTTAACTGGTTTTGCAACCCATCTCTTTCTGCCTTTCGGGAAAATTACCTTGTACCTCTTTTCCCCTTTCTTGCTTCCCTTTGTAACTGTTGCTTGCTTCCTTCCAGTGTTGGAATTGTGGTCAATCACTGCCAATTGGGTTCTGGCCAACATGCCTTTGTATGAAAAATGACGACGTTTGGGAATGTACTTCAACATTAGTGAATGGTAGACTTCAAGGTCGCCGGTATGATGAAATTCTGTGAGTTTTTCAATATCTTTTAAAAGTTTTTTATTGAGAACCACCCCTTCTAGTGCTACGTATGCTGCAGACCCATCCTCTAACCATTTTGTCTTCCTTTCCTTTCTTCTAGAGAGACGCCCATGTCCACACTTTCGAAATCGCTTGCCATTCTTCCATCTGTGTTTGTTAACCACATGATTCAAGATGGAGACCCATTTCTCACGTAAAACTTCAGCATCACCACCACAAGTCTGTGAACACCACCACAGATGATTGGACACAGATTGGATCCATTTAAGAAGCGATTCATTGATCTTTGTCTTAGCTTTCTTCCCCAATTTTTTTTTAATCCACTTCGACAGATGCCACACATCATACTGATGGATTATGGAGGGGTATTTCTTCCTCATCTCTGATGTGATCTGGGTATGACGATCAGTTGACAAAGATCTTATATGGACATTTTGGTCAATAACTTTGTTGAGTGACCTTTGACAGCCTTCATTCTCCATTGCATTAGAGGAAGAAACTTCCGAGACTTGCACAAGGGAGAAATCTATAATCTTCCCTGAATCTTCGTCCATCAAAGTGTATGTACCATATTTAGCACTATGACCAGGACTATCAGATCGACCATCACCGCATAAGTTGACTGCAGTATTCTCCTTTTTGATTGTTTCAATTACATCCTTCCGTTGTTTTTCATAGGCATTGTTGATGACTGGGAAAACAATCTTATCCTGCACATCGTAAAACTGGTCTTTATTAACAAAGTTTAAATTAAGTGCATTAGAAAATTGTTTCATAGATTCATAGGATCCCCCAGTAATGACAGTTGCAGCAGGAATCAAAATGTTACCAGCTGGCTTGTTATCTATCTCTGGTTGTGATCTCCAGTGAAAGGTATGGTTGTTACAACATGTTGCTTTGATTCCTACCATGCTACCAGTGTTGGACTTTTCAATCTCACATAGAGAACCACACGCGTTACAGTTGATAAATAGCTGATCAAGCATACTTTCAAACACAATAAATTTTCTTTCATTTTTTAGTTCTTCCTGGTCAGACTCATCACTGGTGTCTAATTCTGAGCAAATATAATCGTCGTCACTATCTGATGTGATATCACTATCTGATGTGTCATCCTCACTACTACTGCAAATGTTCACAATCTGTTCAGAATCAGATAGTGTCATGTTTGTGTCCGTTTCTTTCCTGACAACTGATCTTGAAGGGGAGGTGACAACAGGATCATTACAATATAGAGCACGGATAGTGGATGACTTTTGTCCTTTTGTTTCCATCGGTGTTGAAGGAGGAGTAGGAACTGGACAACTGTTATTTATATTGCGAACAGTAGAAGAATTTTTTTTATTTTTAGATTTACTTTTACGTTGGGCAAGAGTTTGTATAGCACTACTCCGTTTTAATATTTTTTCACTCTGGACCTCTGCATCCAACAAAATCTTCAAATCACACTGTGTTTCTGCATCGTGACTTGACGTACTTGGCAGTTCTTGTTCAATACATGTATTGCTCATTTCATGCTCTTCGCTGTTTATTTTTAGTAGGCTTGCTACTTCCTGCAAAGAAATCCACGTTTTTTGCCACTTTTGAATTAAAATAGTCCAAAAACGTGGCTACCCGGTGGACCATTTTAATTCATTATTAAAGTACTTATGGATCAAACCATAAATCCTCTATCCCCCCCCCCTGCATTCATGTTAATGACTAGATAAATAATTTACCCCGGACGCTAATAATGTTGCTTTTCTGTGGTTTCATATTAAGCTATAACCCTATTCTATTGAGCCCGCCTTGGGACTACCCCCCTCCCCCCCATCCAATAGACCTGAAAAGTAAAGCTCTGGTGTCCATAATAGAGAATGTACAGTAAATTAGTAATTGCTATCCCCTACCATAACCTTTATAGATTTCGCAATCTAGTCTGTTCACACAGAAATATACACTTCTACAGTAATAGAAATTACCTCGTCTTTCGCAATTTTCTCTCTGATTTGTGCCCTCTTATATGATAATTCGCGTTCTGGTTTGCGATGTAAAAACGGAAATATCGATGGAACACTTCCAGATTTTAGAGCCTTTTTCCCTTTCATGCCAAATAATTCTTTAAGAGAACCCTCGAAACAATCTGGGGTAAAATGAGCGCTGCAAACATAGCACGAATTAGCTTTCGGCAGGTTGTCACGACGAACACGTCTGAGCCATGTTCTTCGCATTTGCTGATCATTTGGCAAACGATGATACGATATATCACTCCCTTTTGTCTTCTTTGAACAATTTGTGCAACCAGGAACCATGCAGTACGGCATTTTCCGAAATAAGTATTTATAAAACTAGAAAAGTCGCCTGTGAAATTGCTGTGTTGTTTTGAAATTTGAATATAAATGCGCTCCCGCGAAACCGCGCAATGACGTCACAAGGTAAAACCGCTGCGTGATCGCAGCTTCGCTTTGATGTACAAAATGGCGGCTGCGTTATATGTAAATTTTAGCACATTTATCGCTTTATTTCCCGACTTGGTTATAACTTGGACATGTGGGACTTTGTGTGAGAGGTAAGCATTATATGATCTTTCATATTAGCCTAAGTTGTTCTGGACTCTGACTTCCCCTTTAAAATACACTCCATTTAGGAATGGATTTGCTGTTTAGTACACATTGCTTACATCATCTCTTTCTGGTAGTTATAATTCTTTGATTGTGGTTACTTTAAAGAATGTAATATGGTGAAATTGTTTTTTTAAATGTACTTACCTTAATTAAAAACCCCATGAACAAAAACACTATTATCTCTGTCTGGAAAGTGTATATAAAATGCTAGGATTAGTCTACATAAATGTAGATTTTAGGATGTGGCAGCCGTTAATTACTATTACAACATTTCAAAAATAACAAACATCAAAGCAGAAGTGGCGAAAATCCTGTATAGCGAAAATTCTCGTGTGTTAATTATCCGACGTGTAAATTAATTAACGCACGTTTATGACGTAGAGACAGATGTTTGTAGTTGAGCCAACTTTAACCAAGTCAATTTTCCCAGTACCACATCTTGCATCTTGAAAGGGAGCCGTTGTATAAAGGATGTAAAATCTTTGGTTTTCTGTTGTGACCATAGCGAGAAAGATATATAATTCACTTGAGTGACTTTTAATTATTCATTTCTTTTCAACATGACTATGATAAATTTCAATGTATTAATAGTCGTGCCGTTTCCATAGCTACAGTTATAACTTTACTGCGACTTATAAAGTCCGGCGCACACTAGAGCTATGTGCTTAGCAAAATGTCATTCGTGACCGATCGTGAAAGGAGAAAACTCAAGTATCCGGTGCACTTTTGTAAGTTTTTCGTCACTCGTGACGCGTAAGACAAATATCCAACGTGTTGAATATTTTTTCTTACGAATAAACATTTTCCTCGCGTGTGTGCGCTCGAAAAGCTATCACCTTTCATTGTAGATCGAATAGGCATCCGTAATAAAACATAAGACAAAGGGAAAATAATTAATGACATTTTGCTAAGCAGATAGCTCTAGTCCATGTGCGCCGGGCTTAGTTAAAGAACGCCTCACATTTACTAAAATACTATCTGTGTACCCCCATTCTATGAATGACTGTCATGGCAACGTATGTGTAATTATCTACTTGAACAAGGTATGCCATGCATTATACGGAATATCTTCAGAATACAGCAAGTGGTTCAGGAAATATTTACCACTGGAACTGTTCGCCAAACCTGCCCCCGCTCTCACATCCTCAAGTGCCATAAGGCCGAGACAGGGGCGGATCTACAATCAGAAGCAACGGACAGGGGTGGATCTACAATTCAATGTTGTGTGGATGACTGAAAAGAGAAAATTGAACCCACTTTTTCCAACATTGATCATGGGGGAAGAGGGGAGGCAGGCGTACGTTAAAATGGCCAAAAATGTGAAAAGTCTCATTTTTGCACGCGATTGTCTGAGATGGAGATGTCTGAGGGTTAGCTGTCCAAAATTTGAAATTTTGCGAAATCTAGCGATCAAGATGACATGAGATTGACATATTTCAATCAATTAACCGAACTTTTTTGTCGCCAAAATGTATAAATTCTCCAAGGAGGCTACACGGGGGGGGGGGGACCGGGCAGATGTAAAGAAGCTTTTCTAACGAATTTAATTTTTACTATCATTTACTTACTAGAAAAAAATCTTTGGGAAAATAGACAAGTTGTAGGCTAAACACGATTTATTAAAATACTTTGCGATATAGTAACAACACATCCAATAGGCCATACAAATCTAATGTTGTGTTTTAACTACTCTTACGTCCTTTCAAGCTCAATTAGCATTCATTTCTTCAGGAGCAAATCATTATATGAGAGTTCCTCAGCCTAGCCATATGACGAAAAATGAGAAAACTTTGTCATTTATACTGCTGTATATGCTGTTGTGCTTGTGGCATGTTCACCAACTAATCTAAAGTGATTAGTTCATGTAAATTTTATGCACTTGTCTTCATTAATCAAACGCTGACACGTTACACACACGTTTCATTACACGTTACACCTACTTTGCATAATAATCTATAGTAAAATATATAGAAATATGACACGCTACACACGTTACACCAATTGCTTTAAAAAATAAATATATATATTTATTTTTAATAACAATTAGTGTAACGTGTCGTATCTCTATATGTTTTACTACAGATTATTAACGTGTGGTGTAACGTGTGGTGTAGCGTGTGTGTAACGTCTCTATAATCAGTACGTAAAATAGATCGATATTTTGCCCATGTGCGGCCACATTTGCTTGAGCTCATCCCACATAATCAAAAAATCATAGGAGATGGAAGTTTGCATTAAATTCTAGTGCAAGTTTACGAATTTGGTTTGAAATCGAGTTTCAATTTGGGTTTGAATTGGGTTTGAAATCTAGTGAGTATGTCAATCTTACGTAACAATTCAGCAAAAAGTAGGAAAAGACTTGAAACTTTTCCAAAATTGTATACAGGTAGGTCAGAACGATGCGTTGTGTGTTATAAAATACTTGAACTTAAAGAAAATATTCTGTTCGAGAAAAAACCGCATAAGTGCCCCCTCACCACCAAATCAATGTTGTGTGGATGACTGAAAAGAGAAAATCAACCCACTTTTTCCAACATTGATCATGAGGGCAGGGGGGAGGCCGACGTACTTTAAAATGGCCAAAAATTTGAAAAGTCGCATTATTTTTGCACGCGATTGTAGGATTTTTAGCATACTATTAGCCTGAACAGTATGATCGATCAAAATAATTCAGATCAGCCAACGGGTATTCAGGATTTTTTTGAACTAGTCAATCGGATAGCCTGTATTCGAGCCCGCGATCGCTTGAGCTATCAGAACTCCCCAAACATCGCACAAAAATCGCGATAGCCAATCAAAAGGCTAGAATCTGACTCAGAGCGTGCAAAACTCATGCCTAAGACCGCTTTTCTGGCCAATTTTAACCTTAGTCGCGTGATCCCTCTGATCACACCTAGATCCGCCCGGGCCGAGAAACACCGAGTCTTGACACTGCTGAATAGTCCATTGATGCAAATCCATTGTTTCTTCATATTTTCTAATTATTTTTAGTGCAATTATTTTATACGACCGAAACGAGTCGAGGGAAAATCGGTATACACTTACATATTATGCGATTATCTAACATACTTCATAAACACGGTCAATCGAAGCAATATATAACATCACAACGTGAATCTGATTCGGATGAAATTTTGAGTGATTTTGCAAATCAATCTTTATTCCATTTATTTAGGAATAATCCATAATATAAACCATGGACCGACTGCCATAACCTATTTTACACTTATTATCCTCCCTTAGCTAGCTTGGTCAAATATTTGTCCGACAATTTGATGGTTGTGAAACACCTTTTTTTAGATTGAATAACATCTGACTCATGTATTACAGACAGACAAATTGCATTTCTAACTTGTAACTCATTTTAAAGTACACTATACACATGACCGCTACACTACGGAACCCTGCATGCCGAGAGATGTTCGGCGATGGCAAATGGATTTCCAGATGCGGAAGTTTCTCAAGAAAGAAAACTACTTGATAGATCATGCAAAATCTAATTTTAAAATTGGAGGTCGTTAAATATATTGCTACAATTGTCAACATATTTGACGCTATTACGGAAACAAAAAAATTAATATTTCTCGGCCAAGTGTCCAAATTCCATTCAAATTGAGCATGGATTGCTGTAAGTGATGCATTTTTGAGAAAATATTTCCACAGTTAACCATGTGCAAATTTATGCCTGCTTGCTTTCGATTTAGAGAAAATTGTAATCAGAACGTTTCTATCAATACATCGTTGCCGCTCAGGATCGAACTGGGAATCTTGCGCGTGTTAGGCACTATCGTGATGACAACTACACTACGGAAACTTGCATGCCGAAAGATGTTCGGCGATGGCTAATTCATTCCCAGATGTGAAAGTTTTTCAAGAAAGAAAACTACTTGATAGATCATGCAAAATCGCCGTATCGTTACATTCAATTCTTAAATAAATAAACGCTAACCAGCTAAAGAATTTCTTCGCGGTCTTAGTTTGCAGCAGCACAATGACAATGAATATCGCGTTCTCCCCCTGTCCACCACTCAATCTTGAGCTCAATCGCTGGAAACAGCTGTCGTGTTCATTATTTCATTAGATATTACCTGGTAGCCAGTTCTTGTTGACGATATTTCGAACACAAAAAATATTTAATATTTCTCCGCGTGCCTTGCACGTGTAAAGTGATGACTGCAACGCTATAGAAACAAACGCCTGCTCGCAACGTTTTGCAAAATTCTCCAGTATCAATCGTTCAAACTGGACAGGAAATTTAATCACTTGATCCTGCCGCATCACGGCATTTGGATTCTTCTTTTGGGAAAAAAAAATGAGCACTGTTGTGCGATATGAGTAATGATTGTTGAGTTAGTTCCAGTCGGATATATTTTTTTTGTTTAAATTTAAATTTTTTTTCCCGTTATTAAGAAAATAAAATGACGTTAATATACAGTAGGCACAAAGGTTGCAAGCTGTCAGGATGGCCGAGTGGTCTAAGGCGCCGGACACAATTGCAAGTTTGCACACCTGCTCCGCTAATGCGCAGTCAGAGGATGTTCTGGTCCACTAATGTGGGCGTGGGTTCGAATCCCACTCCTGACAGAAAATTTTAAAATTGGAGGTCTTTAAATATATTGCTAAAATTGTTAACATATTTGACGCTATTACAGAAACAAAAAAAATTAATATTTCTCGTGATAGTGTCCAAATTCCATTCA